TTAAGTACTCTTCTGCCTGAGATTTATTTCAGTTCATAGCAGAAGTGGAACTTGAAGTCTTGTTTTTTTGCTTCCAGAATGGTTGGTTCCTTGCCTTGTAGCATTTATGGACAAAGCCATCTTTAGTGCAGTGATTGGAAAGACTGCTCTTTATTCCAGATCGATTTCTGATGGTTGAAGCTGGCAAAGAACTGCTTTTGAGCTAGATGGCCACGGGCCACTTGGCCTCAGAAGGACTGCCTGGCGTGGCCAGGCTCCACAGACACTGGCAGTCCGAGACTCTGCTCTGTTTTTGTCTGGAGATTATGCATCCTCAATAAAGAGGATGGAGTCACAGTGATAGAGACTAACAAAGAGCTGTGCCATGCTGGAGAGAAAGGGACACATTAGGGAGAACCTTTGCTCATCACAGCACTTGAGATTGGTGGCTGGTGATAGTCACATGACACATGGAAACCACATTCCCTCACTGCTGCCCAGGAAGGCACAAGACAGCCAGCAGCCAGCATTGCAGCAAGAATGAGTTCATATAGAGTCTGTGGACAGAGCCTGAGGGCCAGGCCCTTTCCCACCATTACCAGGTCTGTGAGAGGCAGGAGGGATGCTGACGGCCCTCTCTGGGAGGGACTTTTTAAAAGGTCCCCACCACCTTCTTAAACTCCCACAGGGTGTTGCTTTGTCTGCACTTGTGATTGTCCTTTACCATTTTGATGTCTGTGTAAGTGCAGGACCCCTCCAGGAGACTGGAGACACAGTGTGTGGGCAGGCTGTCATGCCAGGATGGAGGCTGACTCCTGCTGCTGCTCACAGGCTTCTGCATATCGAGCTGCTGGGCAGGCTCTCCTGTAACTATTGGAGGCTGCTGTTGCTGGTTGAGTATTCTGTGTGGTTCTGGGGAACAGTTCTTCAAGATTCACCCATAGAATGTAACATTCAGCTGCAAGTCGGAATGTCCCTATCCAGACTCCCCCTTCCTGGCTCTAAGAATCCAGAATCCAGATACTTGATCAGTGTCTTCTAAGTGGTGCACCAGTGGCTGGCCTGGTGTGCCCACATGGCCCATTGGATGGTGTTGACCCTTGAGGGATCTCTTTTATCTGGTCTGCTGCTCTATAGCAGGGAACATTTTCAATGGTTTCTTTTTATCATCCAAGGTTGAGGTGCACAGGAGCTTAGTATATCCCATGTCTCCCACAAATAGCTCTACATAAACGACCCACACTTGTGAGCAGTGTCTGGTACCGCGTTTCCACCTTTCTGTCCTTTGCAACTGAAGGGAAAGGGATAGTGAGACCCATCCGTAATGCCTGTTAAATTCCACTGTGTTCTAGGTACCTCATTTAATATTGCCTTATTTAATCCTTGCAGTATTTCTGTGAAATAGTGACTGGGTTTGTCTGGTTACTGTTGAGACAGGGTCTCATGTAGCCCAGGCTGGCCTCATATTCCCTATGTAGCAAAGTATGGCCTTGAACTCTTGGCCCTGCTGTCTTTACCACTCCAATGTTGGGATTACTGGTGTGTGACACCGTGCCTGATTAAACAGACTGTTAAGATCACATTTATCCTTAAGGTTCTCAGAGAAGAACACTAAACAGCATCCTCAGGTAGGGATCTGCGATTTGAGGCCAGCACCTGACTGCAGAGACTACATCCCATAAGTGCTGAAACTGAATGGCTGCCCTTGCTTGATACCAGCCATACTGTGGCGAATGAGGCACAATTCCAATTTGTAGTTTGCAAAGATAGAAATCTGTCAAGGTTGCCTGAGGCACATGGCTGAGTGGGGCTCAAATTTAGGGCTGCTGGCTCCAGAACCTGTTAGTAGCAACTTGCTGTGTACTTTCTGTCCCTGGAATGGAAGCTACTGGAATCCGTATCTGAGCTTCCTCTTGCCCTTTACATCCACCCACCAGGACAGTACCCACCATTGCGGGTGGTACAGGTTTGAGACACTGGGAATTCTGAAGGGACTGTCACAATCTGTTTCCTGCTTTGTGCTATTGATTGCTCTCCACAGGAGGTTGTGAGACTAGAAACAAGGCTTGCTGGGCAGAAGTATTGTAGCTTCATAGAAAGTGCTATTATTGTCATGGATTTCTGTATGTATGTATTATTTATTCATTTATAGTTAGCATGTAGTGTAATGAGTTTCATTGTGCCATTTTCATAATTATATGTCATTATACTTCCCCCCTCTTTCCTCCCCCATCTCCTTCCTCAATTGAATAACCCCTCCTGCTTTTTCGCCACATATATTGCGTTACCTTCTTACCCCTGCTTCTCTTTTCATTTCCTCTCCTAGTAGTCTTTCCATAACACACACACACACACACACACACACACACACACACACACACACACACACACACACAGATATAGACACATACACACAGACACACATGCAGACACAGACACACAGATAAACTCACAGACACAGATGTACACACACACACACACACACAGATACACGCAAATGTATCTCCACATATGAGAGAAAAATGTGACATTTGTCATTCAAAGCTTTGCTGTTGGTTTTAGAAGTATGAAAGTTAGATCATAATGGTCTCCCTGACCACTCATTTTTCTGGAATCAAATCCAAACACCTTTGCCAAATATGTAGTGAGAGGGGATCCCAGGCATTGAGATGTGCAGCATGGTATTCTATGTTTAATATTCTGTGTGTACAAGGAAGACCAAGGTGACTCACAGCTTTCTACCCTGTAGCTGCTGAGGGGCAAGGGGTGTTGGAAGCTTTTGAAAAGAGGCTCATTGCCACTAGGGCCTGGGATTCTTACATGAGCTGGGATTTTCTCATCTAAGAATGTAAGTGGGGGATTTAACCTGAAGAAAGATGGATTCTGACCAGGAAATCTGGGATAACACCTGTGTGTAATAACTTCCATCTTAAAGGGAAAGTCTGACCATGGCTTGGGCAACAATAGTGCAGTCAAGATCATTTGGAGACCCCTTAGTTGGCCTCCAGCTAGACAGATGCTGTCACTGTGGCTGAGCTGGGGACAGGGGTTGAACACAGATGCCCAGGGGTGTGCTTATGTGGATCAGTTGTGCCTTCTGGGAGGGGTGGAGCAAAATGGAGAGACAGTGCTTGTCAGTGTGACAGTACCTGCCCTGCCTAGTCCTGGCCACTCATCGCTGAGTACACAGTGGTGGAGATGCCCTCACTGTCCTCTTTGTACTCTGGTCCCACCTTGGGTACAGCACACGCAGTGTGTGAGTGTAAACCAGATGTGTTACTGCAGAGTGGAGGAGGGCAGACAGGGCTGCTGGAAAACAGTGCAGGATCTTGAATTAGGAGATTTTGTGCCTCCAGCTCCAGATAGACTGTGAGCATCCTTTCCCTTTGCCAAGAACTCCAGTGAGGAAGAAAGCCTGGAGGAAAATTCAGAATCCATGCTGACCTTGGAGTGGATGAGTAGCCAAGCCGATGTCCGTAGGGCTCACAGCACTGGCCTGGCTTGCCTGAAGACTGAGCCCACAATGCTTTGTCCTCCCTGGTGCCAATAGAACAGTGAACCTGGCTGGTTTTATTTTCCTTCATGGCCACAGTGGCATGGGGATAAATTACTTGTTTTGTTTTTCCTCTATAGATTATCAATTAGAATAAAATTCTACATCGTAGTAGCAGGTCCTTCTGTGCTTCCTGCTATAGCCTGTGAGAGGCACTCCCTCAAAGATGTCTCACTTTCATCTGATGCTCCGGCTCCCAGGGAAGTGAGAAGGATGTTGCACCTCTGCATCTGGAGGAAGGGCACAGAGAGGCTGAGACTCTGAAGTGAGGCTCTGAGCAGGGACCGTGGTGACCAGGGAAACCTCACTGAGTCGGCTTTACATAGGCCTGTGATGGCTGTAGTTATTCTCCATTAGGAACCTTCCTTGGAGGGACCTTTCCTTCCTTAGGCCAGGTGGAAGCCTGACTCTTCCCTTGGGAAGTTACTTGAACCTTGTGTGTTCGTGGTAGATGAATGAGTGGGTGAATGGATGAACCCTGGGGCATTGTGGTTCTAGGCAGAGCATGGTTGAGTGTTCAATGGCTCAGTCCTGCCTGTTTCCTGCTCTAGGCCTTCTCCTAGCATCTTCTATCTGTTTTTCAGGGCTGCTTGATTGGACCATAGACTAATGACCTTCTTCTTTGTCAGTCTCATGATCTTGAATTCTTATTACTAACTTTTATGGAAAGGTGTTTCCTAGATACTTTTTTGTATTGTGAAAGATTTTAAAATTGAGGAAATTTGCTAGTAGCATCAATGCCTCTATTCTTAAAGCCGAAGCTGACTACTGAGCCTATGGGCATGTCTGTTGTGACATCATTGCTTGGGTTCATGTAGCTGGTTCTAGACATATTGTACATGCTTGGACATAGTACAGACTGCTGCTAGATATGTGATTTGGGCCCTGCACTTCCTAGCAGCCATCATAAGGTGAAATCAGGTAAAGGAAACAGATAAAACAACCCTGTGATCTCCAGATCTTGAGATGCAGCTAAGATCTGGCCATACCTTCAGCACAGCACCAGTAGTTAAGTTTGATGGAAATCGGAAGTGTGGATGCGTATTGTCACTTCCTATCCTTGAATGCTTCCATGTATGAGAGAACTGTGTATTGAACGTAGTCCCATGTAAGCTGTATACTACCCTCAGAAGGTAGTGTAGGAGAGCCAGATGTTTGTTAATCTTGACAGACTGTCTTTATGTAAGCATGTACTACCTGGCCCCATGTCTGGGCTGATAAATAGCTGTAAGAGGAGCAATTCAGTGCTCACAACAGATATTGTTCAGGAACAGAGACTTGGGAAAGCACTCAGAATTTGCAAGCTGAAGTTTGTTCTTCCAGGAACCCACCTTTCCTCCCAACACAAATGTTATTTTCATCTTGTCTTGCCCTTCTGTTTGTGTGCATGGAAGTGACAGCTGAGCCCACTGATTGTCTGAGGCTGTAAAAGAAGTCTTGCTAGGGAGCAGGGAACTTACCTAGACAAGCCATCTCTAACGGCATGTACTGTAGAGAGGCAAGGGGGCAGCAAACAGAACCATCTGCTCATAAGCATTGCCTTTGCTTTCTTCCCTCAGATGAACTACGCCAAGCCATCGTGGCCATGATGAACAGAAAGGATGAATTGGAAGAAGAGAATGGGTACTGTGACATCATGGCAGCCTTTTTCTCTGACATTTCTGTCCCCAGTGGCAGAGTGAATGGATGGAGAGAATGGTGCCTTGCTGCCATAGCTGTGACTGACAACTTGTTTTATTATTGTTATTATTACTTTAAATTCTCATGTGTGTGTGCGTGCATGTGTGTGTGTGTGTGTGTGTGTGTGTGTGTGTGTGTGTGTGTGTGTGTGTGTGTGTAGATAGATGTGAATGGAGGCCAGCAGAGGGGACTGGATGCCTTGGAGCAGGAGTTACAGACAGTTTTGAGTTGCGTGACTTGAGTGCTTGGATCTTAACAGATTTCTTACTTTTCTGGAATAGGCCACTTTGCTGTGGCTTGCATATAACAAGGGATGGGGACAGCAGTGGTGCCACCTCCCAACACAGAACAATGTTGAGGAGCAGCCCTTATTGACAGCACTCACTGACATACCCACAATTCAATGGTTTTTCATCTCTTCTCAGATATGTGCAGCCATTGCCATGGTCAATTTTAAAATAGTGTTATCACTTCAGAACAAATGCCATACCACTTCTATTCAACTCCCTGCCCCCTCAAATACTTTCAAAGTGACCTTTAACTGAGAATCTATATTCTGTGTTCAGTCCCTCTCAAATTGGGGATTCTTGGGATATGATGACATTTGAATTCTTTTAATTCGGCCAAAACCCAATGGTCAACTCCAAGAGGCAAAGTGTTTCTTAATTTTTTTCTTCCTTTGCTATTGAAACCCATACTAGATACTGCCAGTTGCTACCATGCAAGTGTCAGAAGTTGACCATTCTCCCTGCTAGAGAATGATGTTGGGGTGGCCAGTGGCAGGCTTACCTGAGGTAATTCACAAAAGCCTTTGGGCACTAGTCAGCTGCCTGACTCAGGGAGGTGGTGGGCATGTGTTCAGGTCACCTCCTGTTCTTTACTGGTGACAGCAGTCACAGTTCTCTCTTAGACCTTATTTCGGATCTAACTGACAAGCTGCTCTTCATCCTTTGTGGAACCATACAAAGGCAAATAAGTGTAATTTCCAAACCGGCAGAGGCTGTTATTAGAAGTCTAGACAGCACCACTTCCAGCTCACATGCATTCTCAACAGAAGGCTTCTGGCCACTGCAAGGTTCATTTCTTTGGTCTAGCGGAAGTGAAGCAGCCATAGGGTTTATCTTAGCTTGTGAAGAATGGCAACCACTGCGTGTTGATTTCTTCTTCCCAGACAGAATCCCCCAGGATGTTTCTCAGGGTAGCATGTTCCAGGAGGGGAATCTTCTCCGAGCTCTCAGTGAACACTACGGGTCTTGGAGAGCTCAGTAGTGGTTGGGCACTGTGGGAGCTTGGTACATTTGATGCACCCTGATGTTCATGGCAGGCGTCCTCTGGATGTGATCTGCAAATACATCACAGTTGCTTTTCTAGAAAGAGCCGCATAGATACAGTGAAGTAGCTCCATATTTGATTTACCTCAGGGTGGTAACCTGTGATCCTTTCTAGAATAATTGCTACCCCTGGTCATTTTCTGGAGACAAGAAATGTATATGCAAATGGGCATTTTATAAAGGCTAAAAAGTATAGGAATATAGGATAACGTGGTGCTAATATATACTCAAAAGGATGCCAAACACACTAGTTCATCATGGAGGTGGCTGTGGACTGTAAGTCCTGGTCTGGGCAGGGGGTGGAAGCAGGATGAAATGTCCATCAGGGAATCTGAGCAGGTATTCTGTTTTTCTGCTGCAGAATATTCATTTGGCCTGTTTTGACACCCTTCCCTTTGTGAAATCTGTTACCCATTGAGGCTATGTCAGAACTTGTGCTTAACTGCTGCATCTTTGAATGGAGTCTTTAAAAGCACCTCCCTGGCACTTGCTGAGCTCCTTGTTTCCCCTTGATCTCAGCTGTCACAGGAGCAAGGAGTCTGAGGACAGGTGACTGCCCTGGGGCTCATTGCAGTTACTGTACTCAGGCTTGCTGTCTGCTAGCGCCAGCTCACTTGGTTTGTGCAGAGATGGAGAACTGCATCGCCCTCTGCGCGGGCTGGACAAACAGCCTCTGAACTGTGGGGCCCTCTTTTCCAGGTCGCTGCGGAATCTCCTCGACGGTGAGATGGAGCACTCAGCTGCACTCCGGCAAGAGGTGGACGCCTTGAAAAGGAAGGTGACAGAGCAGCAGGAGCGCCATACCACAAAGGTCCAGGCGCTGGCAAGGTAGACAGGGCAAGGGATGGAGAGAAGCATGTATAGCCACAGTTCCACACATATCTTCTGTCTGTTTGCTTTTGAGAAAAGGTTGTGCTATGTATGTAGCCTAGGTGGACCTCAAACTTGGAATCCTCCTGCCTTGGCCTCTAAGTTCAGGGATTACAGGCATGTGCCACCACACCTCACTCACATTTTTAGTTAAATGAAAAGGGCATACCAAAGGAAGTTACATTTCTGTATTTTCATTTGATGTGCTTCTTTGAATGAGTAGTGCACATGCGTATGTTTCAAAATAAGGAGGTCAACTGATGGGCATTCTCCTTTGTCTGCTGCTCAGTTTGCTCCTTGCCTGCTTAACTCTAACCAGTTGCAGAGATGCTCTGTATGCCCGAGGCTGATGTGTGCACACATGCATATTCCTTCCCTCTTCTGTACAGCTTTCTACATCCCGGGTAGGGTTCTGTGTGAGTGTGCCCAGGGCTGCCATCCTCTTGCTAGTAGCTCCCAATGTGTTCTGGTCTGACTGCACCAGGATTGGTTTAGTCAGTCTGCCAATAGCTGGACGTTAAGGTTTTCAGTCTTCTGTGATACCCCCAACACATGACCTGAGTACACGGCATTGTGTCCCCAGCCATGTGCAGGCTGTGCCCTTCACAGGTCCTGCATGGGCCCCACAACATTGTGGGGAATGGTGCTGCTCCCAGCTATGTTTTCAGGGCAACAAAGTTCTGGGTCCCATAATATCAAGGAGAAAATTATATTTCTCTAATTATAAATACTGTTGAGCCTATTTTTATTTAAGAGCCCCTACTTAAGTTTTTCTTTGATATTGTTTATATCTTATTAAACAAAATGTGATGACTTAAGAATGGCAACTCCTATGAAAACATCAGGTTTTCCTGAGTTTGTTCTTCTGTGGACACACTTATCCATGCACTTAGAATTGACACCCATCACTTTTCTTTTCACCTCCTTCATCCATTTTTCACTATAAAGGCAGATTTGAGGTTAACCATTTTTTTAATAGACCTGTATGCGGTATTTCATGGAATTGATGTAGCCTAGCATTAAATTGACCACACTAATTGGTCAATTTAGTATTTGGATTGTTTCTAGTTTTTTTCCCATTTTAGGTGAGCTGAGCAGTTTCTTGGCTGTATTAGCTACTTGTCTTATTGCTCTAAGCCACTTAGGGAAGGAATGGCTGATTTTGTCTTAAGGATTCAGGGGATTTCAATTCATCTTTTAGGGAAGACATGGTTGTGGGATGGTAATGTGGCTGCATACATCACTGCAGCATACAGGAAGTGGTAGTGTGGCTGCTTACATCACCACAACATACCGGAAATGGCAGTGTGGCTGCTTACATCACTGCAGCAAATAGGAAGCAAAGGGCTCATCCTGGTACCAGAAGTGGGTATAATCTTCAAGACCCATTTCTGCTTCCTGGGCTGTGTGGTTCTATAACCTCCCCAAACATGGCCACACCAAGGGACACTTACTAGAACAGGATATTGTGGGGGATGTGTTTGTTTAAAACCATTAACACTGATGGTTCTTTGAAACTGCTTTTGAATAGGGCTTGGGGGAAGCATGTCCAGAGGCTCTGCCAAGCATCCAGAGTTAGGTGTTGTGGTGTGAGTGATTTTCATGTGTCTGTAATTTGTCACAGTCATGTGGCCCTCCTGTCTGCATTCTGCTTCTTGAACTTCTCCCCTTTGCATCCTAACATGTATCTCTAGGGCCGTGATTCTCAACCTGTGTGTCTCAACCTGTGTGAGGGGGTTGAACAACCTTTTTACAGGGGTCACTTAAGACCATCAGAAAACTCACATATCTATATTACGACTCATAACAAACAGTAGCAAAACTATAGTTATGAAGTAGCAAAGAAAATTATTTTATGGTTGGGGGTTCACTACAGCATGAGGAACTGTATTAAAGCATGGCAGCATTAGGAAGGTTGAGAACCCCTGCTCTAGGGCATCAGAACCAGGTCAGAGGCAGAAGAGAGTCTGGTTCCTAATCGCACATTTCCTCACGTTTCCTCACCTGGTCTCTCATCTCACCTGACCTCACTGGAGCTCTGCGGTGTCATGTTGGCTCTACAGACTGAAGTCTTCAGAGACCCTGCTCTGAGCATCAGTAGCAGGCAGGGCTATCAGCACTTCATTTTTCTGGCTTGTGTTAGGAAGTCAGCTTAGCCTTGAGCCCTGGCTCAGTTCCTGGAAATGTGTTTCTGGTGCCTTGCTGAGCTGCCGTCAGAGTGTGCTTCTCATCTGTGCTGATGGAGACAGAGGAGGAAGCCTGTGGAGCTCTACAAGCTGCTGTGCACGTGTTTCATACTGAGTGCTCTTTACTATGGTAGTCCTAGGGAAAACCTTATCCTACACGTGGGACAGAGAAGCCAGTCTTATAGTCTGCAGCCTTCCCAGGTATGCATGAAAAGCAGTTTACGGTTGGAAGTTGGCAGTTTGCAGGTGGAAGGACATTTTGTAAAGTGCACGAATATTCCACAAAGAGAAAGTGGGAGAAAACACCCTGAGCAGCTAGCCACAGTGGGGGGGGGGGGGCAAGCGGACCTTCTCAGACACCTGTCGCTTGGGAACAGAGAAGGCTGTGTGGCACAGTCACGGGGGCAGTGACTATTATAGGCTGAGGCTCATGTATGTTCTGGGCTCCCTCTCTCTCAGCCCACAATGTGACTCCTCAGCTCAGGTGGCAGGATTTATAATGCAGGAAGCTTAGTGGTATAGGGGCAGGTTCTGGCATTGAACTTCATGGTCAGAGTGCAGTTCTGTTCCCTGCTAGCTATGTGACTGTGGGTGAGCTTTAACCTCTCTTTCAGTTTCTTAGTTGTAAAATGGGGAAAAGATAGACCATTTTTTTTTCTGGTTCAGTAAATGCACTTCCTACATGGGTAATACATATTAACTACCATCACTTTTTATTGATTTTGGTTACTGAAACCTTGCCTAATCAAAGGTATATTCTAATACCAACAAGGCAGGAAGGATGAAGAGCTAAGTTAGTCTGTTCTGAGTACTCACTCGGAGTCTATTGGTGTGCACATGTGTTTTATTAGCCTTGGGTACATGATGGTGAAACAAACACACCACTGAGCTGATTTAGCATTTGATATTCCTTTTGCTCAAAATTAATGACTTTCCTCATTTACCATGGTTCAACAAAGAGTGAGGGCGTGTATCTTGTGCAGTGCAATCAGGTGCAGTTAAGGTTGTGTAAGTCGTACCCCTCTAAATAATTGGTTGACTTGCTTCCAGCTGGGCAACAGATGTGAAAAAAGAAAAGATATAGATTTACATGAGGAGTCCGTTTGAAGGAAGTGTCTTAGTCTCTGGTCCTGTGGGAGTAGAACACCACAGAAATAACTACCTTACAGTTCTAGAAGCTGGGAAGGCTAGAGTTGAGGGGCTGCACCTGGCGGGGGCCTTCTGGCATGTCAGAGCATGATAGAGGGCAGCATGTCACAGAGAGTTCATGTGAGGGAAGAGGCAGCTGACTTGCTTTTGTGACAAACATGCCTGGTGCTAAGTCACTGGTGATGCCCAGCCCTTGTAACCTGATCAGTTCTTTTTTTAAAACTACTTAAATTTTTTATATGTATGAATATTTTGCTTTCATGTATGTTTATGTATCAAGTGTACCAAGTGTATTCCTGGTGCCTGTGGAGGCCAGAAGAGGGTGTTGGATTCCCTAGAACCGGAGTTCCTGAAAGTTATGAGCCTCTACATGGGTGCTGGGACCTGGACTTTGGACCTTTGCAAAAGCAACAGGTACCCTTAAGTGATAAGCCAGCTGTCTGTCCAGGCCCCCATCAGTTCCTAATAGCTGCTTCCACACATGGACTTAGGGAGACAGGGTTAAGGTCATTGTGTCACTCTGGGAACATTTTCTTCCTCTGTTCCTTGTGTTAGCTGTCTCATGTGACAAATTGTCTCCCAAGTTGGTCTTCTGAAACAGCAAGTGTTTAGAATTTCCATAATTTCTGTGAGCTAGGAGTCTGCAACTGGGAGAGGGTCTTTCAGAAGGTAGAGGTCGAGTTGCTGGCCAGAGTTGGTATACTTGAAGGCTTAGCTTGGACTAGGGGGCCTACTATCCTGAGTGTGTCTGTCTGACTGTCAACAAGAGGCCTTGTGTCCCTGATGTGAAGGCTTTTGAAGGCAGTTCCATAGAGAAAGAGCATGCCCCAGATGGACATCACCAGGTTTCTGTATCTTGAGAGTACACTGTTGTTCCTGCTGTGTTCTGTGGTTACACAGACCAGCACTGGCAGTGTGGGAGGGAATGACACTGGGGTATGACCACCAGGAGCCATCTCAAAGGCTACCCACCACCTTCACTAGGCTTTGGCTTCCTTCTGAGGCCACAGGGACCCTCCAGAGAAGCAGAGCCAACAAGATTGCTATACCTTTCCACTTGTCCTGAGGTATTGATTCATGATTTGAGTGCCTGGAAGTTTTCCTAGTCTAGTCTGCGAGTGGAGGCCTGGGAAAGCCAGTGGTGTGCTCTGAAGGCCTGCAAAGCTGAGAACTGCTGCTATCTGTCCAGACTGACAGCTAGGAGCCCAGGGGCAGGAAAGGATCACCCCTGGCTCCAGCAGTCAGGCAGAGAGAGCATTGACCTTCCCCTGGTTCTTTTGTTTTGTGCAGAGACCTCATTGGAAGGATGACCCTTGGTTTCCCTGGCGAGGGCCCAGTGCTTTTCCTAGTCCACTAAATGAGATGATGATTTTCCAGGAAACAACTTCTCAAATACCCAGAAATGAGATTTAGTCAGATACTGGGCATCCATGACCCAGCTGGTTAGACCCTCACACTCCACCAGTGTTCCCTGTGGCTCTTCATCCTTCCAGGCTGTCCATGGACATTTCACTCGGCTGTTTCTTCCCTCAGCCACCATTATGGAGCATAGAGGGGGGCGTGGCCAAGCTGGTGTCAAGAGCAAGACTCAGCATTCCCTTTCCTACAGGATGGGAGGGAAGC